TAAAACAGATAAGGACAGGACAAGGAAGGAAAACTATAGACTAATATCTCTGATGAATAAAGACGCAAAGATTCTCAACAAGATACTAGCAAATCATATCCAACAACTTATAAAAAAGATTACACATCATGATCAGGTAGACTTTATTCCAGGAATGCAAGGTTGATTTAATATACACAAAACCATAAATGTAATACACCATATTAACAGGGATAAACATAAAAAACATATGATCATATCAATTGATGCAGAAAAAGCATTTGATAAGATACAACATCCCTTCATAATCAAGACTCTCAGCAAAATCGGCATAGAGAGGTCATTTCTCAACACAATAAAAGCTACCTATGAAAAACCCATAGTGAAAAAGTGAAACTCTCTTTATTTGCAGCTGACATGATCATATACATAGAAGACCCAATAGTTTCCATGAAAAACACCTGGAAGTAGTACATTAATACAGTAAAGTTGCAGGATACAAAAATTAACATACACGAATCTATGGCATTTCTATATACAAACAGTAGGCAGACTGAGATAGAACTGAAAAAAGTAATTCCATTTACCATAGCCACAGAAAGTATAAGATACCTAGGAATAAATCTAACCAAAGAAGTTAAAGATCTTCACAAGGAAAAGTACAAGAAGTTAAAAAAAAAAAAAAAAGACATTGAAAATGACAAAAAGAAAAAAAAAAAAGTGGAAGGACATCCCATGTTCCTGGACTGGAAGAATTAATATAATCAAAATGGAAATTTTACACAAAGAAATCTACATATTTAATGCAATCCCAATCAAAGTACCAGGCACATTCTTCACAGATCTAGAAAAGATAATCATATAATTTGTCTGGAATCATAAAAGAACTTATATTGCCAAAGCAATACTGCACAAGAAGAGTGGAGTGGACAGCAGCATCTCACTCTCTCATCCAAAAATATACTACAAAGCTGTGGTAATCTAAACAGTATGATACTGGCACAAAACAGAAAGATGGACCAATGAAACAGAATAGAGTCCCCAGAAATAAACTCCCAAACATATAGTCAACTGATTTTTGGCAAAGGATACCAGTCAATCCAGTGGAAAAAGGAAAACCTCTTCAGCAAATGGTGCTGGAAAAACTGGATATTCACCTGCAGAAAGATGAATCCGAACCCCTACTTATCACCATTGACAAAAATCAACTCAAGGTGGATTAAAGATCTAAACCTAAGACCTCAAACTAAAACTGCTCCTGGAAAACACTGGTGAAACTCTGGGAGATATTGGGGTAGCCAAAGACTTCTTAAATAAGACCCTCAAAGCACAGTCAATAGTCCTCAAAATAGACAAGTGGGATTACATCAGACTAAGAAGTTTTTGCATGGCAAAAGACACAGTAATTAGAGTGATTAGACAGCCCTCAGAATGGAAAAATATTTTTGTAAACCATGCATCATCAGATAAGGGACTAATAACTAAAATATACAAAGAACTCAAGCAGCTATTCCAAAAAAGATTATCAGCCCTATTAAAAGATGGGAGAATGAGTTGAAAAACCCACTCTCTAAGGAAGACATGCAAATAGTCAAAAGGCATATGAAAAAATGCTCAACATTCCTCATTGTAAGGGAAATGCAGATCAAAACAACAATGAGATACCATCTAATACCAGTCAGAATGGCTAAGATTTAAAAAAAAAAAAAAAAAAGGAAAGGGGTGGCAGGGGGTTGGAGAGGTAAAAGGGGAACTCTTACACTGCTGGCGGGAATGTGAATTGGTCCAGCTACTGTGGAGAATAATTTGGAGATTCCTCAAAAATCTGCAAATAGAACTTTCATATGACCCAACAACCCCACCCACTCCTTGGTATCCACCGAAAGGACAGAAGAATTCTTAATCAGAAAAGTACCTGCATATCAATGTTTATTTCAGCATTATTCACAATTATAAGACAGGGAACCCCCCCAAATACTCACGAACAGATGAATGGATTGAACAACTGTGGCACTTATAATCTATTGAATACTACTCGACCATAAAAAACAAGACCCTGGCTTTTGACAGAAAGTGGATGAATATGGAAAATTTACTGCTGAGTGAAGTAAGTCAGACTACGAAGGAGAGACATTGTATGTCCCCACTTAATATATACTGAGTTTCCACACTCTATGACTGAAACTGAATAACTAAAGGATATAGAAACTGCTGGTCTCCATATGTTCATTTTGAAAGAATCATTGTTTGAATCAGGACTGCAAAAATACTGGTACTGATTAAGAAATTTCTTTTTTTTTTTTTTTACCTTTCTTTCTTTCTTTTTTTCTTTCTTTCTTTTTTTCTTTTTTCTTTCTTTCTTTCTTTCTTTCTTTCTTTCTTTCTTTCTTTCTTTCTTTCTTTCTTTCTCTTATTTTTGCTATAGAGTGTGTGCTCTTGCCAGAGAGAGATGGGGAAAGAAAGAAAGAGTGAAAGTGAGAAATTATCCCCCAGGGAGACATAGCCATAACACAATCTCTTCACCATTTTCCCCATGGGATATTTTTGGACATGCACATGCACGATGTGATTTTCAACCAATGTTCAGGACTTGAGCAGCATAGTTGGCCCTGTGGGATCTAGCTGCCTTAAACTCCATGCCACCTGTTGGTCCAAGAAATATCTTAAATCTACATTAGTCTTTAGATTCTTCCTTCCCTTCATTATCATTTTACTCCTTCAAATTCTTGTAATTTATTTTTCAAAAAAACTGAACTATTTGTTCTATGGTTTCCCTGAATCTTCATTTTGCTGTTTGCATCCCTATATTGATAATATTGATAGAATCTCTGAAGTCATTTTGGTTTATTGTGTTGAGAAATGCATCTTCTATACTTAGTTTGTTGACAGTTTTAATTATGAAGAAGTTATCTTTTATCTACTGCTTTTTCTGTATCATAATCACATGCTTTTCACCTTTCCTTCTGTTAATGTGATATCTTACAGATATTGTTTTGCATATGTTGATCCATCCTTGCATCCCTGGGATAAAACCTACTTGGTCATGTGGTATAATCTTTTTTTTTTTTTTGAGAGGTTTTTGCTATAAGGTGTGTGTGCTTGCCAGACAGAGAGAGACAGAGAGACAGAAAGCAAGAAATCACCCCCCAGGGGGGGATGGCCACCCCAGAATCCCTCCTCCTCCGTTCTCCTCTCAGGATCTTGGGCACGCAAGCACACGCACCCGGTGTGAGTTTTAAGCTACTGGGTCTGGGATGTGAACTGCGGTCGACTACATGGGAGTTCAGCAACACAGCCATTACGCTAACTGCTGGTCCCCCATTTTCTTTTTTTTAAGAGAGATTTTTACTATAGGGCATGTGTGCTTACCAGAGAGACAGAGAAAGACAGAAGTGAGAAATCACCTTCTGGAAGGATGGCTACACTGCAATCCCTTCTTCTCCATTCTCCTCTCCAGATTGTGGGCATGCCCGCACAAGCACCCAGTGTGAGTTTTAAGTCTCTGTGTCTGGTACTCAAACCACAGTTGACTATGTGGGATTACAGCCATGTAACCCTTAGTTAATCTAGGTAATGGTCTTTTTTTTTTTGGAGAGGTTTTTTGCTATAGGGCATGTGCACTCGCCAGAAAGACAGAGAGAGACAGAGAGACAGAAAGCGAGAAATCACCCCCCCAAGGGGAGATGGCCATGCTGCAATCCCTTCTCCTCCATTCTCCTCTTGGGATCTCTGCAAGCACATGCGTCCGGTGTGAGTTTAAGTCACCGGTTCTGGGACTCGACCTGCTGTTGACTACATAGCCATTATGCTAACTGCTGGTACCCATCTAGCTAATGGTTTATCAATTTTGTTTATCCCCTCAAAAAAGGAATCGCTTTTGTATTTCATTGAGTTTTTGTATTGTTCTTTTATTCTCAATTTTATTTATTTCTGGTGTAATCTTTTTTAAAAAGAATTATTTATTTAATTTTATTTATTTATTCATTTATCTTAATTTGACCAGAGAAAGAGAGACAAGCGGAGAGAAGGAAAGTGAGCAAGCAAGCTACCAGGTCCAGGATTCGAACCATCGTCGGTTATATGGAAATGTCCAGGGCCTTAACCACCACACCACCTGCTGGCCCCTAATCTAATCTTTATTATTTCTCTCTTGTAGTATTTTTTTGACTTTGTTGTTGTCGTTACTGCTTTGAGGTGTTGTTATGTTTTTTACTTGACATCTTTCTATATATTTTTTTCCTGTGAACTAATTGCTATAAACTTCCTTCTTAGGCCTGCTTTCATTATGTCCCAAAGATGGAGAGGCATGTTTTCATTATCATTTATTTCAACGCCTCTTTTAATCTCTTCAGTAGTTTTGATGTCTTTCAGGATAAATTGTTTAGTTTCCATGTTTTCATGTATTTTCAAAGATTCTTTCTCTATTTTTGTTAATTAGCAGTTTACAAAGTACTTCATCTATGGAAATAAGTCATTATTCCCTGTTTTGCAGATAAACAAGCTGAGTATGACCTATGTGCAAGTCACATGGTGAGAAATAAGCAGAAATTTGACTAACACATACATATTCTGACTTCAAATCCTGAGAGCTCTTCACTACTTACTGGTATGGGAGAATGGATTCATTCATATATTCAAAAAGCTTTATAGCAAGGGTAAAAATGAAGATGAAAAACTCTTGTTCCTCTATTAAATAAAAAACTCAGTCAACAAGGACATTTATCTCACTCCACATACGTTCCCTCTTACCTCCCCAATGCTTATACTAACTATTTTATGTCTAAATACATTAGGTTTTTTTTAAGATATTATAATAATAAAAATAGTAATGCTCACTGTAACAATAATTTTTCTCCCTAAGCAATTATTCCCAAAATCATACTAATAAATCCACAAGGTAGGAAATACACTGTCAAATCCGTTGGCATACAAGATTTTCATTGTATTTTTTATGTGGAATTATCTGTTTCAGAACCCAGAATACGAAAAAGAAAACATTCCTTCTTCAAGAGGGAACTTACCTCTGTTTACCTTTATGATCTACAGATCCAGCTGAGAGTCTGTCGAGGGGAGAGCCAAAACCAGAGAAGCTCCTTTTCTTTTTAGTCTCTGTCACATCATTTTCCAGGGACACCAGTTCATCAAGAAGTAAGATTTTTGCTGCCAGATCAGTGGCTGATTTCTCTTCGCTGACTGTGGGTGCTGACCGCACATCTACAACTGCAGAATCAAAGGCCTAAAGAATAGGGGAAGGGGATTCCATTCATTTAGACAAAGAAGCCCAAATAGCACAATCATCTGTGGTTGGCTTTGATCCCTTCACCTGGCTTACCTATCATGAAACACTTTATCATTTCTCATGCAATCATCTCCAATAGAGAAAGTTAGGCTTTAGAGGACTGGAACACACAAGGGTGGGTAGTTTCAAAAGAAAACAAAACAAAAATAAAAACAAAAAAGAACATCTCCAGGCTGGCCTCTAAAATATAGCATATTAACTGATCATTCTTTCAGGATGTTTCCCAACAAAACTGGATTTTTCTTTATTATTTTGTTGCTTTATTTATACCTCTTGTCATTGTACTCACTGCATTTTATTTTGTATTACAATAGCTTTGTTATAATATATTTATACTCCTCATTAGATTGTGAAGAATCGAAGGTGAGGACTTTAAGTACTCTTCTATCTGCTCTGTTAATTGCTTAGCCTAATATTTTGCTCAGAGATAGTACTCAATAAATCTCTGGTGAATATTTCTTGAATTAATTCTGAAAAACTAACCCTCATGTTGTTTTCTTGTCATCATTCATTCATTCTTTATTGATATTTCACTAAGAATGTGTGTGTGTGTGTATATAAATATATATATATATATATATATATATATCTGCATTAAATTTAATGTATACAAAAATAATCAAAATCTAGTTTCTATTATTTCTATCCATAAAATTTATTAACAAATATTTATGAGTGTCTACAACATATTGCAGCTATCCCAACTAACTTCATAATCCCACATGCAGTTTTCTGTTTCACGTATTTGTTACATATATTGTCACTGTGTACTTAATGCAAGTCATTAAAACATGGGTGTCCAGTTTGTGAAGCCTGTCATTTCCTTCCATAGGTCCAATTACAGCATTTAAAAAATACTTTTATTAACAATCCTGAGCCATTCTGTAGTCTAGAGAATACTATGTCTTTTTCAAGAGCCTGATAATATTCCCTTTTAGAAAGCAACTTTAGCTCCAGAAGATTTCTTTCTTTCTCCCCATAAGCATGAGTTTCCATGTGGCAGACTCTTGGCTTTGGTTTAGGATTTTCTTTGCTTCCTGCTATTCTCCTTTAATTATTTTTCCATTGACTTTCTATTGTTTTCATTTTCTCCCATAACATGAAGAGTAATGTTTCTCAAGCCCTTTTGTTATTGACTGGAAGAACTCTCTTTTGAAATAATTATAGACTGATTCAAAAGCTCAAAACCATTCAGTCTCCTGTTTCTTACTCCAGTCATATCTGCAACAAGCCTGGTCAGTTCTTCCTGGACAAGCTCTCTTGAGGTTTTCCCAGGCTCATCAACAGTCACACCAGGTCCTCTTCACCACCTAATGCACTCCCTAAATCACCTTATAACTTGTTTGTATACTTCCTATCTCTTTCTTCCCAGTTCCACCCTGAATACTACTATGAAGTTTAATACCTGACATGGTTGGATAAAGAAACTGTTATCATATATAAATAAAAACTTCTCATAGCCCTTCTTCACTTATTGTACAAAACCTGCAATATGGTTTCACACTACTTAAAATGTCAAAGTCTGTCACTTTCCTGTATAAGCCTGACAACATGGAAACTCGAGAAGGAAGTTATAATTATAAGAAAGAACCCTAAAGATTATGAGACCAAACTTCAAAAGTCAAAGATCTTTTATTGTCCTCCAAACAATATACTTTTATTCTTCCAACTGACATACACACAGAGTCTATTTCTTTTAAAAGGATATCCTTAATCCTCAGAAAACCCACATAAATCCCATATGAAACAAATCCTTTTGAAATATTAATTTCAGACTTTTTCTTTGAGTTTTTAAAAAAGTGTAAAGAACATATGTTTCTAATAAGATCGAATAAGCCAAATTAACTTTTCTCAGTGTAGAGATGTCCTTGCATTTTTTTTTTCTGTACTTATGCCATGGCACCAAGAAAACATTTGCACTATAATAAAGTTTTGCTTTAGGGCCAGCAGTTGGCATGGTGGTTAAGGTGCTGGACTTCCACATGACTGACTGCAGTTCCAGTCTTAGACCTGGCAGCTTGTTTTCTCACTTTTCCTCTATCTTTCTTTTTCTCCCATTTCTCTCTGCTGAGCCTGTGCCTCATAGAAAAAAATTTAAAAAATAGTAATTATAAATAAAGTTAAATAAATAATTCTTCAAACAAATGGTTTTTGAACAAACATGTTTTGGCATGCAAACGACTTCAAATTTCACATAAAAGCACATCAGCTTGATATAATTGATTTAATTAAAATAGGGCTGAAATTGCAATGAAGTTTCTCCAAATGATTTTTTGCTAAAGGAGTACAACGCTTTAAGTCTTTTGTTTGTGTGTGTGTGTGTGTGTGTGTGGGTGTGTGTGTGTGTGTGTTTGGCATTTAGATAACTGCATGATCTGAATCTATTATGAGGAAGTCAATAATTATTGTTCTTTTTTAATTTTTCATTTTTTTAGAGTTTTGTTTATTTATTTATTTACTTATTTTGCTATAGGGCGTGTGCACTCGCCAGAGAGACAGAGCGACAGAAATCGAGAAATCACCCCCCAGGGGGGATGGCCAAGCCACAATCCCTTCTCCTCCATTCTCCTCTCAGGGTCTTGGGCAGGCATGTACACACACCTGATATGAATTTTAGAAAGCTGGGTCTAAGACTTGAACCATGGTTGTCTATGTGGGAGTCCAGTGCTGTAACCATTACACCATTTGCTGGTCTCCATGTATTATTGTTTTTTACATGCAAATTTACAACCATGACTATCATGTTGACAATTAAAATAAGACAATAGAACAAATAACTATTATCCTGATGTATTATCAAGGCATTTCTTAGTTTTTCTGCAGTATCTGCATCTGACTGTAGTAGAAATGACCTCCACCCAAAACACACCCCACACATACACACATGTATAGACTGGAACTAGTTTGCATTACCTCTGTTACTACATCCATTGAGAGCACCTTTCCTGAGCTCCACAGAATCAGTGTCATAGTCAGGATCAAATGTGCACTTGCCAATCTCCAGTCCAGCATCTGAGGGTCATATGTATCAGGGTTAGTGTTGATGACATTAGAATATGAAGATGGAAAATAAAGGCTCCCAAAAGCTTATTGGAAGAAAATGACAGGCCCACTTACTTAGCATCTACTAGTCAGCATCTTGTGGACCTCTATGAAAGTTAAATAATACTTAATAGAAACTATCAATCTCTGAGAATGAATTCTATCAAGGTTTCATTTCCATGGAAACTTAGATTGTGCCTGCACAGCTATAAAAAAATATAATTCAAACCAGCCCAAGTTCGGAAAAATCCATTTTATGCAACTTTTTCTTTGACTCTCTAATACAGAGATTATAATCTCATTTTATAACCTCATTTTACACATTAAAAACATTTTATAATCTCATTTTACACATTTCCTAAGGGGAAAGGTACGAGAGAATTAGGACTAGTGGGGCATGTGGTGAACTAAAGAGAATGCTATGCATTATAAACATTTAATTTTAAAATTTCAAAAACATCACATATCCAATAGGAAAATATTTTTTATGTTTTTGCATTATGTTTTGATTTCTTAAGAAACATTCAGAAAGTGGACATTTTATAGAAAGATTGTCAAATTTCACTGTTAAAATCGGAAAACTCTGTGGGCCAGCAGGTGGCGTGATGGTTAAGACGCTGGATCCAACATGGCTGACTCTGAGGTTCCATGGACCTTGGGGATTGAAAAACATACCAGCCACGTGTGCATGCATGCCCAAAAATCCAAAGACAAGAATAAAGGAGAAAGATTTACACCCATGGTCATCCTTCCTGAGGGGTGATCCCCCCACACACATTTCTTTAGTGTGTACCAGTGCATACTCTATCTGGCAGGGACACATGCTCCATGGCAGCAATCCAAAAACGAAAAGAAAAATTTGAAAAACTCTATATGAGAAGACACAAAAAGAAAAGCAAAATCAAAAGACATTACAAAATGGAAGATATTTCGACATATGTAAAAAAAGAGATTAGCATTTGGAACACGTAAATAAATTTAATACATAAAAAAATAAAAATAAGCATACATGTGAATAAAAATGGAACCAGTTTATAAATGGATATTTCATAGAGAAGAAGAGAACTTAATTGAAAGATAAACATCCCACGATACTTACAACCTATTTAATGTGAAGTGACATAGAAGTGATTTACTTTCTGCACATATCAGATCAGCAAGAATTTTAAGTCAAAATTGCAAGCATTAAAATATTATCACAAAACTGAAACATAACAAAAAAAAATGCTGGCAGCACTGGAAATGAATCCAATCATTTGGAGAAACTGGACAATATACTGAAAGGTTGAAAACGGTCATATCCTATCTATAACACCTTTATTTTAATTCTAAGTATATATCCTTGAGAAAATTCTGACATGTTTACAAGGAGACTTGTGCAGTGTCTGAAGGTTCATAGCCTAGTTGTTTACCACAGTAAAAAAAATTAGAATCAATCCAAGCTCCCCATTTAAGAGTAAATGGATTTACTAATTTAGATAAATTGAGACTATGGACTTAAAAGAAGTGACTTAAATATATGTGTGTTTCCTGTAGAAACTAATGACCTAAATGAATGTGTATCTATATGAATTGATTTCAAATAAAAAGTTTTGTGAGGAAATAGGAAGTGTACACCTATGGTATAATATCATTTGCCTAAATTAAAAATAAACAAAGTAATTCTATATATTTTGGAATACATACAGTAGATATAATTAAAGTGTAAACCATTGGAATTTGAGGGATTGTGGTTGATTATAATGGTTGTTTCTGAGAAGGGAGAGATGTGAACAAGATTATATGGAAAATTTATGGAACTCAGCATTTAATTTATAAATTTTTGTAAAACTAATGTAATAAAAAATCATATTTGTTATTTCTGGGTAGTTAGCACAAAATTGTGTTGTTTATGCATTTCTGATTCATTTTCATTAACACACACACACACACACACACATATACCACTTTTCAGCCAATTAAAGCTCATCTATGGTCTTGCCAGCCATAGGCCAATGGAACTCCACCAATGGAGAATAAAGCGGAGACATTACCCTACTGAAGGGAGATCACAAGGTATGGAATGGAACAGAGTAGGCTTGAAGGCAAGCTTTGTTGCATAGTATATGGCATTAGGAATGTTCTCTAGATTCATTCTTTATGAATGAGAAGTCTTATTTGGACCGTCATCAGGAAATAATCATTTGAAACTCTTGTTTGAGACAAAGAGAATAGTGATTCTAGCCTGGAATCTTAAGAATTGGGTTAGGGTATCATTTTTGCTTTAGTAGTAGAGCGACTTAGGACATGTATCATTTAATCTACTTGAGTTTCATTTTCCTTACTTGTGAAGAAATAATTCCCACGTCAAAAGAGTTTTGAACAGATTGAATTGACTAGTTCATAAACTTTTTGTCTCTCATAATATTTATACTTTTTAATTTAACTTATTTATTTATCTTTTAATTTGATCAGAGAAGGACAGAGTGAGAAAGAGAGAGAGAAAGAAAGTGAGAAATCAAGCTGCCAGGTCTAGGACTCAAACTGCTCAGCCATGTCGCAGTATGGCACCCTTAACTACCACATTCTATGCCGGCTTCAATATCTATATTTGTAAGCGAAAGAATATTTATGAAATATTACTGAATATTTTTTATTTTTATTTATTTACTTATTTATTTTTAAAAGTTTTGCTATAGGTGTGTGCACTTGCCAGAGAGGCAGAAAGAGACTGAGAGGGAAAGTGAGGAAGTACCCCCCAAGAGGATGGCCACGCTGCAGTCTCCTCTCCTCCATTCTCCTCTTGGGATTTTGGGCACTCACGCATATGCGCCTGGTGTGATTTTTCAAGCTACTGGATCCGGGACTCAAACCACACAGTTGGGCATGTGGGATCAGCACCTTTGTCACAGTGCCTACTGATGGCCCTTAATGTTTTAAAATAAGTACATAAGTTTTAGTATGACCTAAGATTTTTTTTTATGACACATCCTTTGAACATTGCTACTATGACACCTCAGTGTATATTTTAGCAATAAATGTTATATGCTAGAATATAAACAAATAAATATTTTACATAGGAAGAGGAGCATTCGTATTAACCCTTTTGCTAAGACAAAATGAAGATACAGTATTCTAGCATTATCTGCAACATTTACGTATCCATCATGATTCTAATTTTCATGTAATTAGTCTCGACTTATTGCTCATTATACCAGTCTATTTTGGAATCTTGTCACATAATGCTAGTGACAAGTAGCAAGTCTGTGTCCCATCATTTTCCAAAAGGGAACAGCAAATCTTCTTTGTGTTCACTTTTTGCTAAACTGATCAGAGAGCTGAATTTTTGGTTAAGTATCAAAAACCAGTAAGTCATGACTAAGTTACTTCATTGAACAAATAGACAAATCAGGAAGAATACAGCAGTTAAACACCCATCACATCCAGCATTAGTTTTCCCTTCAGAAATCAGTCCATCAAAGTGTTTCTCCTGATTTTGCTGAAGTCTCCTTGACTTTCCTCCACACAAAGGAAGATATATAAGGACATAACTGTATTTAAAAAACCATTTTATGGGACCAGCAGTTAGCATAATGGCTATGTCGCTGGACTCCCATGTAGTCGACCATGGTTCCAGTCCAGGACCTGGTGACTTAAACTCACACTGGGCGCCTGTGTATGTGTGCCCAGGATCTCGAGAGGAGAATGGAGGAGAAGGGATTGTGGCGTGGCCATCCTCCCTGGAGAGGTGATTTCTCGCTTTCTGTTCCTCTGTCTCTCTCTGTCTTTCTGGTGAGAGCATGCGCCCTATGGCAAAAACCTCTCAAAAAAAAAAAAA